ATATTTTGCTTCTTATTTCTTTTCATGAGATTGATGATATAGAGGTAATATAATCCAATAACTTTATAATTTCTAGAAAGCATTCATGTATGAAGAAAACACCAAATGTGGATACTCAGAGAACAAAATGCACTACCAACTGCTTATGAAATTTATTATTGAAGTGAAAACTGTGTTAATCATTCAAATTGTGCACTTATATTGAAAATATAGGAAAAACAAAACAAAGTGAAAAAGAAGGGTAGAAGTATTAAAACTAAAAATGAATTATAAACACCATTGGAAGCATAAGTGTTTTGATGATTATTTGCATTTTGCCCAATTTATATATCAATACAACAAAATCAAAATGTGCTACAACTTTACAAGTATTTGATGCAGTTGCACTTCAGAACATCACAAAAGGTTACTTAAAGTAATTTCTATACAATATTGTTTGTTTTTTTACCAAACCTATGCAGACTTGAGTCTTTTGAAATTTAATATGAAACTCAATTACAGAAAATCCGTAAATATCCAGAGATTTAATATTTACTTTTTTAAAGAAACAAGTAAAAATCCTACAATTGTGGCGAAAAAAGCCATTGCCTTTCCACGAAAAGAAGCAAAATAGCAATGATAACAAATAAGCTAAATTCTCTCCCGTGAACCACTGTGGACATGAGCTATGATATACTTTTTTGTATAGACTAAAGAGTTTAATCGATCAAACAAGTTTGACGCTGTTAAGAAAACGACGCACATCTGTATTCATACATGTGTAGCCGACATATATGTCTTTCGTCGATAGTTATAAATGCATCCTCGTAGTAGCAGATAACTGACAACCACAGTTCACTCGCTGTGACGAATTGTAGGTTTTTATCGTGATTTTCATCAAAAAATTGCTTGCCGAATCCCAAATACACACATACATTTTCTTCACTCTTTCCTCAGGAGGGAGTGGGAAATTGTGAAATTTTCGGAAAAGCGGTCAATTTCGGTAAATCTCAGCGGCAACGGACGAAATCCACCATTTTTTTGGCGTCATCAGATATCTAAGGCCGCGCTTGAGATAGCCGCTCCAGTTATTATAGAACTCAATGGTATTGCACCTCTGGGCCACCGTAAATTACTGCTAGTAATACAGTATTTTGAGATAATATTGCATTCTTTTATGGATAAGTGTGTAATAACTGATTGTTGACGGCTACGAAATGTCATTACATTTAATATCGCCAGAATCGAGGATTAAGAAAAACATGAATGAAATGCCTTTTCGTCGAATTTACGAAATTTGATTGCGTATGGTGATTGTTGTGCTGAACTGCTTTTGATATAAGGTTCAATTAACTGACTCAAGTAGAGAAACATTTTGGGCCAAATAACATTGCAAAGTTCGTTCTAATGTAGTTTCAATAGTTTTCTTACTCCAAAGCTTGTTTTCTAATCAAAGTTGATTTCTCATTTTGTTCTGAAATGGGTCAATTTACAAACTTCTCAATTCTTAGCCACTTCCACACTAAAACAAACAACTACACCAAATCATAGAAACTCTTACGATTTTCCATGTTCTATTTTGTATTTTTAGTTCATCATTTAAAAATAAAGTAATTATAATTAGGATATTCACTGAAACAGCTAATATATTCATTTCAAAGAAATGCTTAACCAAAACTTTCAGCAGAATCCTTAATAAACTTCATTAGAAATAAACTTTAATACTTTATAAAGTGTTAAAGGCGAAATAACTTCGTGCAGCGTAAATTGTTTTATGAATGGTCAACGGCGAAATACAGCTTGTAACCAATTTTACTGCATCAAACGAATGTACACAAAATATAGCTATAATTGAAAATGATCTGTATTGAGTGCCACGTTTTAAAGGTTTCTTTGTAAGTCGTGCATACAAATTAATTACTTAATTCAATTGAGTGCTGAGACAGAATATCAAAAGAAGAATACATATCACTTGTAAACAGGAAAAAGTTGGGTTGAGTTTTAGGCATAGAAATTTATATAATTTGTAAATTTGTTATGTTTCATACAACATAATATCAAATAAGTTAACAACAGGATGTGTAATGAACTCATTCATAATCACCACTCTATTGATAAAAGCGTATGAGCTGCAACGATGCCTTTTTAACTATATTTTACGACCGAAGCAAAGCTTATGTAATTATTTCCACCACAAAATTGATATGGCGCTAGAATCTCGCCACACTACAGAAAATCCGGTCAAAAGGCCCGGTGTACTAAGTCTGACGATTTATATCGTTACATCAATCTCCTCATAAGGAACAAAACAAGGTTATACTTTGAAGGACCTAAGAGTAGTTTTCATAAAAATTGGTAATCACATGTAAAACACTCATTTTTATTTGCGTCCTAGAAAAAATTTTCTTTTTACTGAGGGGTTCAATGTGTCGGTGTCTGGTCGTGCCTGATTGGTTTCTATACTGACATTTGTTGACGTGTCTTGCGTAGAGAACTTGGCTGCACGGGTTGCTCATTTGGGTCTTCGGACTCAGATTATTCATTTTCTTTCTCAGTACGCTCTTTATCAATCTTTCCCTTTCTTTAGTGGACGCCAGATGTCTTCTGTTCCGTTTGCATATTTAGCCTTTCGAAATAACTTGGTACGACGTGAGTGCAAACTTCTGGTTACACACTTCTTTCCTTCATGTCCTGCACGTCTGGTCTGGTCGTATAAGTACTGTATGTCCTAGGTTGAGATCTATTAATGGCTTGCTGCCACGGTTATAATATTTCGCTTGTTTTTTCTTTTGTTTGTCAACAATTTCTTTACTTGATGGGTTAATTTTGGCTTCAATACTTTCCTTGCCGTAGGGAGAAGCGTTTTTGTTCACATAGCCTACTGTATATGTACGTGGATAAATAGTCCAATTTAGTTTACATATCAGTGGCTTAATTATCCTCTACCAAAAGCAAAATAAATAAAACAACATTACAACACCGAATCAAAATTATAAATGTTAAAGAAAGGTAATCACGTTGCTGAAACAGTTTATTGTTCTCTTAGTGGATTAAAGTCATCTCCGATTCGTTAGGAATGAAATGAGTAATTTAGAGCAAAAATCTTCGGCGTCGTTCTCGCTGACGAAACCGCGCTAAAAAGAAAAGCAATGATGCGCATGCGTGTTAATTTTATATTGCAGTACCCAGCCATTGCACCTAGCATGCTCGCTCTGCCATCTTCAGATTTACCGTTGTGAATATCAGTGGGACTAAGTGTAGAAGATTCTGCCAGAACGTAACATCATGGAGCAGAGGAAAATATCTCAGTTTTAAAAAGGAAGGATTTGTCAATCACTTTCAAAATACAAATTCTTATTAAACGTCTAGTAAAATTGTTGTGTGGCTTACAAGGCCAAGAGAATCAATACAATACTGGCATATTCAACTAATTCAAGTTAGATCATCGATGTCAGGTTCTCTAAAAGATCACGTTTTAAATAAGGCATGAGCGTACATACATAAAGAAAAACACATAATGTAGACTAGTGAGAAATTAATCATTTTAAGAAATATACAACAACTGAAATCATTTTAACTAATATCTTCTAACGTATATTTTTATAAATGCCTCGCTTGTGTTTATTACGGTTCCTTTGAAAAAAAAGCATGAAGTAATTATCAATTTTAATAGCTTGCTGAAACTAAAAACAAGCACATCAACACAAGCTACTTTTAGAAATGTATAACTTCGGTCAATTTGAGAGGTAGAAGTTTATAGCTACATACCTTGATGGTAGCTATGTTTCAAGTGATGTTTAGTTTTTTAGTTCTCAAGTTTTAGTCCAGCTTTTCATCATCCTTATTCATGTCTATATAAATTCATTGTTTTTACCGTGAGTATAAAACACAGAGAGATTGACAGCAGGATTACATGAGCATGAACTGTAAATAAAACATTTTTCTCATTTTAGACCACATTCAAAAAAAAATGTCCTGTACATTCATAATTTTAAAGTAGAAGTTTCAAAAATTCATGTTGATGACGTTAATATGTTCGTAATTGCATGTGTTGTTCGTTATGATAAAACAATTTCCTTCAATATAGGTGCAAAGTTGATATTAACAATAAAATTGCTGTTTGAAATAATCGAGTTATATTTTTATAATTTTTATACTGGAGACAGCTTGGGGGAATTATTGCCAGTTTGGTTCGTTATAGCTGCAACGTAAATTGTTTTAAGAATGGTCAACGGCGAAATACAGCTTGTAATAAATTTAACTGCATCAAAAATATGTACACAAAATATAGCTATATTTGAAAATGATCCGATCGAGTGCCACGTTTTAAAGGTTTCTTTGTAAGTCAAGTATGAATAAATTATTAATTCAATTGAGTGCTGAGACTGAATGTGAAAGCAAGAATACATAGCTCTCACTTGTAGACAGGAATACAGTTGGGTTGAGTTTTAGACATAGAAATTTATATAATTTGTAAATTTGTTATGTTTTATACAACAAAATATCAAATAAGTAAACAAAATATCAAATAAGTAAACAACAGGATGTGTAATCAACTACAAATTTGACACAAACAATGCAATATTTTCAGTTTAAATTTGTAGACAAACTCTTGTGTCTGTAGTTCCTTATAAATAGTAAAATTGATTTTCATACTAAAGACAACAGAAATTTTTTCGTGCTAGTTGATTTACATTAAAGTTAAAATGGTGGCCCAAAATTCGTCATTTAAACATTGCATAGTCAAATAGAACTTGTAATATTGCAAATTCATTGGACGAAACTTCGAGCACAAAATGGCTACTGTCTAAATCTCAAATAATTAAACTCTTTTATTATCAGCTGAAACCACTCTATTCTTCATGAATACTTAACATGATATTACGTGCATGCATCATCGATAGTTGGCAATAAATTATTGAAATACAGTTGACCCAAGTACATAAATAGAGCTTCCTTGGTCTTGGTTTCATGATCCTGTCCTCACTCCAAGCTTGTGGGTATCGATCACATATCATAAAATGGCAAAATTTGCTTTTGCGTTGGTCGTTATTTTTTGTATTGGTGTTATTATTGAAGGGTAAGTCTTCATATTTAAAGTTAAATTTTGGTATTTTTCACTAACATTTGTTGAACGCCATCAATGTGTCTACGAGGTTTTACGGCATATCTTAACACGTAAATAAACATCAAGCCATTTTCAGTTAGCTGCACTATGTTAAGTCATCAAACTTTTTACGAGTTCGTTTAAAAACAATTTCATTTTTTGCCTATATTAAATCAATGATTAGAGGAATATTATGTCGTAATGGATATAGTAATAAAGAAAGTATATGTATTGATTTCATTTCCTTCATTATTTCCATAGAGCGAATTTAACAAGTGAAAAAGAAATTAATTTAAAAGATAATTTCTTATCGCTCAACTTTGACATGAAACGCCATTTGAAAGTTGTTCAAGGAAATGTAACATTAAAGACACAAATTGCATTAATAAAAGGGCAAATAAAGACACTGAAAAAATATCACAAAAATCTACAAACACAAAAAAAGCACCTTCAAACATTTAAAATAGCGCTTCATTCAAAAATCAATAAGACACAGGTACAAACGTACAAATTAGTAAAATTGCAAAGACAAATTAAGAAAATTGAGCTTAAAATGATTAAGCTGTCATTAATAATGAAAAAACTAGATTTGCAAATAGCAACAATTCAAACAAAGCTAAAAAAACTTGAAAAACAACTGAAAACTCTTTACAAAGAAAATACAAAACTCACAGGAAAATCACCTTTAGGTAAGAACGATTTTGAGATATTAAGAGTGAGATTTAACAACATATTATTTCATAACAGATCTCTTTGTTTACATTACCAGGGAAAGATTGTGCAGATATTTACAAAAATGGTGAAAAAAAGAACGGAATTTATCAAATTGATCCAGATGGTCAGGGATTTTTTGAGGTTTTCTGTGATATGAAGTCATCTGGTGGAGGTTGGACTGTGTTTCAACGACGTCAAGATGGAAGTGTAAACTTCTATCGAGGTTGGAAAGACTATAAACAAGGTTTTGGTAATCTTAGTTCAGAGTTCTGGCTTGGATTGGATAAAATATACCGACTATCATCTGCAAGGAGAAATAAACTTCGCGTAGACCTGGGAGACTGGTCAGGAAACAAAGCATATGCTGAATATGATTATTTTGCTGTAAAGAATGAAAATAAAAAATATCAACTAAGTGTTGGTAAATATTCTGGTAAGTTAATACGTTAATATAAACGTTTAAGGGAAAATATTTTGATATATGTAATATTTTTGAATGACTTGATTGATTGAAGTTTGCAACGGGGGATTCTGCAAGTTTTGAAGAAAACGGATAGTAACGGTTGGTTTCGAACTAAAGCCTTGTTTGTCAATAAAAATAGAATTAATTTTGAACTTAAAAACTTACCGAAAAAATACAACAAACAAACGTAAAGTAATAAGTCGTTCTGTTTTGCGAATGATTCTGTTGCAACGATTGATTCTGACATGTAATGATTGTGATTAGCTTATCATCAATATTAAATGCAAATTCAACTGCAGCTTTGTAAATTAGGTAATGATAACCTAGCACATGAACAACATGTATCTAATAAACACGACTAAATTATTTGGTACATAAAAAAGAATCTATACTGTGAATATCATTGTCTAATGATCATTGACTGAAATCTTTTTTACAAAATGCATGCATTGAAGTAAGCCCCTAGTAATTAATTGTAAATGCAAGTTTCAATGCCTAAATTATATATACATTATATTGTTCTTACATGTATAAGTTTTTTATGAACTTATAACAACCTAAAACATAACAGAAATTTATTTAAGTTTACATGTAACTATATATCGCCAAAATCATGAAATCGGGAAAAAAGAAAGAAATGGCTTTACGATAGGTTGGATTGCGCGTAGTGACCATTGTGTCTAACTGATCTTGACCTAAAGGTTTATTTACGAAGATTGTTTCGAGTAAAAAATCATTGGAAATAATTGTCTTAATGCTAACGATTCAATAGTTTTCTTAGATACAAAGCCTGTGTTTATAGAGAGATTATGACTTATCATTATGTTCGGAAATTACTCTAATTTTCAAGCTCTTAACCACTTCAACAGATAATTATTGCTAATCCAATATGCTAAAATAATATACTTTCGAATATTGTATTTTACATGTTTAGGAAATCCTTTGAAAGTATAGTAGCTATCAGTAATCATAAATAAAATATTTACTGAAACAGCTGGGTAAAATTACATTACTGGTAATGAAATATACATTCTGACTGTACTTTAAACCAGAGCATTTTCAATTTGGATATCAATTATTGCTCTGGTCTTTAAATAATAATTGATTTGGCGTGGTCTTGGTGCTGTTGTTAGAAACTGCCAGAATATACGTTCTCATACGTAAAAATGCCTTGCAGTGGGTCACAATTGCTTTCAAAGCACGAACTAGTCAACAGCGAATGTAGCTCAAATCCACGAAATTGAGTTTGGTTTGCAGTAATTATTCACAAAAATGCCAAAAGCTTGATTGTTTTTTCCGACATGTTTAAAATTTCCATTAAACAAGGCGGAATTGCTTTATTCTTTTGCTCATTTAGCCAATTTCACACAGTTTTATTACAAGTTTAACTTGCAAGTAGTCACGAAAATGGCGGCCCCGCGCTCGCCCCAGACCCGTTGTCCTAGCTCTTACAAATAGAGGGCTCTGGCACCGAACGCATTAAAGACAAATGAAAATGAGATAAAATTCCTCATTATCTTTTGTTTTAAATGCATTCGGCTCATGTAAAATGCGACGTATGAAACAGGCCAAAGTAAACTAATTTTGAAAATCTATAATACAATAAGAATCAGTCCAGGTACCAATTGAGATCAATGTTAATAGACTGGATACAGAAAAACTTTAGGGCAATGAAGGTGGGATGAAAGAAAGTTAGAAAGGCATCATGACATGTAGCAAATTAGTAGACAACTTTTATTTTAGCGATTTATTTGATTTCGAGAAGGATAAATGGTTTAATAAATTAGCAACAACTATAATACCAGCGAGTACATTGTGCATGATTGTGGTTGGACCTTCCGCTAACATTAACAAGTAAAATTCGATTTTAGCTTTGTATAAAACTAAATAATGAGCATGGGACTGAATATATCTAATGAAAACTCAGGATTGTAATATGTTTTGGTATTTATACCACTTCTTTTTTACTCTATAAATTAAATGAAAAAACTATTAGACAAATCTCATAAAAGCCTTCTAAACAAATGACCATTGAAAAATCTCTTGAAATCTTCTATTAACGACATAAAACACGTGTTGGGTATTTTCTGCAATTCTTAAGGAGAATTGTAAGATAACATTAGCTAAATGACGTAAAATTTTTCTGAGCAAAATTACTTTTCTTAGGAAATGCTGGAGATTCATTATCTTATCATAATGGCATGGCATTTTCAACCAAAGATTCAGATAATGATAAATATAAAGGAAACTGTGCCACTAGCCACAAAGGTGCTTGGTGGTATAATAGATGTCATTATTCCAACCTGAATGGGCACTACTATAGTAGAGCATACAACAGTGGGAAAGGTGTGAGTTGGTATCATTGGAAAAAAAACTATAAATCCTTAAAGTTTTCACAGATGAAAATGAAAATGACAAAGAATTTTTAATATTGCGTTTTCTTAACTTTCATGAATACATCTTATGAAACTTCGCATAATATTGATATTTGATAATAATTCTTTCAATAGAACCTTTACAATCATCATTCTTTTAAAACAGCGTGGAAAAAATTGTTAAAAAATGCTGTGGTAAAATAATAATTTTCTTCCCCAAATGATGGCATAATTAATGATATAGTTTTGCAGTGACGTCTTTTCTAACATTTCTTTGACGTTTGCTGTGAAAGTTCATTGCAAAAAATTTTGATGTTTTTTGCCTCGTTCTCACGCCATCTTGGATTTGTCATGCATGTTATGCGACTATCTGATATATTATCTGGTTTGTCATGAAGCAATATTGTTCCCGCCAAAGAGAATGGTTGAACATAACCTATTGACAACACAGTGTGTCTAACTGCTCGTTGTTTAGATAGAGTTGAACCACTAGATTATTCATTTGAAAATTTGAGTAGAAATTCACACACAAGTGAACGCAGTCATACACACCTTACATTTAAGCCCAATACTGTTCGTAATTGGTAAATTCAAAAGAAACCCCGTTATTCAAGAAGACTTTGAATGGAGACGTAAACAAACATATGTGTTGGTGGAGATAATTTACATATATGCTACTACATAATGATATTCTTTCTAATCACCAAAAAATGAATTTCTCGATCATCAGCAACTTGTGACGAGCTCAAAATTCACCCTAAACATCACAATGGATTTTACCATTATCATGACGCAACTTGTCTCAAGGTTTCTCCTCGGAAAAATGCCTGAAATGATTTAAGCATTCCATTCGAAAAAGGGCGTATTCCTGAAAGAAAAAGAGAAGTAATCAAGTAGATGAAGACATATTAACTACACATCAACTTTAGCCTTTAGGACGACCATAACATCATCCCATTATACTGAAAAGGCAATCTTATTAAAAAAATATTTACTAAGGAGTAATTGAGACAAAATTTACTGCAAAAATGTAAACAAGTTTGTGTACATGTTAGAGGCCCCATTCAACGTATAATAATGCACCAGTTAAACTGCATGCAAATAACTCTGTTTGTCTGTTTAGGTTTTTGATAAAATTTCCTATGAACATATTTTAATAAACAAAAAAAGGAATATTTTTTGTCTATCCTTTATAAAACAACAAAAAGATATAACGCAATACGCTGCTTGGACTACAGGTCAGTTTTCAATAGCCTTTGCAAATGTGGAAAGTTGATCTCAGCTTAATCAATTAAATCAATTAAAGACAATTTAGAATAGATAATTTCGCAAAACATGTTTTATTTCAAATAATACTGGACAATGGTGATAAAAGGCTAGTAACTCATAGTTCTTTTTAAGAACTGTTTAAACTACCATCTTGCAGTTAATGTAATATTTGCGTAACATTTCCTATTTAAGTAGAAGTTCGCATTTCTCTAGATATTTTCTGACGTTTTTAAATACGTTGTATGTGAGACTAATACGTTGTATGTGAGACTAATACGTTGTATGTGAGACTAATACGTTGTATGTGAGATTCATACGTTGTATGTGAGACTAATACGTTGTATGTGAGACTAATACGTTGTATGTGAGATTAATACGTTGTATGTGAGATTAATACGTTGTATGTGAGACTAATACGTTGCATGTGAGATTAATACGTTGTATGTGAGACTAATACGTTGCATGTGAGACTAATACGTTGTATGTGAGATTAATACGTTGTATGTGAGATTAATACTTTGTATGTGAGATTAATACGTTGTATGTGAGATTATTACGTTGTATGTGAGATTAATACGTTGTATGTGAGACTAATACTTTGTATGTGAGATTAATACGTTGTATGTGAGATTAATACGTTGTATGTGAGATTAATACGTTGTATGTGAGACTAATACGTTGTATGTGAGATTAATACGTTGTATGTGAGATTCATACGTTGTATGTGAGACTAATACGTTGTATGCGAGACTAATACGTTGTATGTGAGATTCATACGTTGTATGTGAGACTAATACGTTGTATGCGAGACTAATACGTTGTATGTGAGATTAATACTTTGAATGCGAGATCTTTCGGTTAATAATACAGCTGGGAATTGTTTTATATTGATTATATTATTAAAAGAAATCCGTGCATAACGAAAAATTCAATATCTCTCATACGTGCATAACGTATGAGAGATATTGAATGGTAACATCCGTTCTGAATAAATCCACATGGAAAGAACTTAGTGCCTAAGACCATGTATTTACACACAAATGTTTGTGAAGAAATAACGCACACTATATGCAAAAGTTGATGAAGTGGTGGTGCACATTTCTAACATTGTTTGATGTAGAATGTTCCTTATAAGATATGGTATTTTAAAAATAGCAAATGGTGTTTAGGATACATTACCACGGTACGACAATACAACAAAGAAAAAGCCAAATTCAGTCACGTGATGTAAATCTACTGGTAAACAACACTATTTAACTGTTCATCTACTTACGAGATAACCAAAATTGATCGAGGATTTATAACTTTGAAGAATTGAAAACATCGTCCAAAAGAAATGAGAAAGAAGAGACAATCTATAGAAAAAAGGAAAACAAAGCTGAATGATGTTATTTCAGATATTTTTAAAACATACGTAAAATTAAAACATTTACTCGCAGAAAAACAAAACCGACGCCAATATGTAAGCACATGCGTACAAAAGGTAAAACGTTACTTGTATTGGCTGTGTAATAAAAGCCTATGAAGGTATACATAAAACCTATGAAGGTGCTTGTTTGTAATATTAACGTTTGTTCAATGGACAATTGACAAAGATATTTAAAATAAAGATGTTCTTTTCGCACTAACATGTTTCTCATCGTTTAGTTGTTTCATTATGTAGAGAAATATTTAAACTAATATATCAAATTCACCTGTGTTTTCATATAAAACTCTGTTCAGACCCTTGCTCATAATTTGCTGTACACAAAGCTGAAGCTGAATTTGTAATTTATTTTAATGAGTAAATTAGTCTTTATCCTTGAACATCTCTTTAGTATTGCCTGTCCAGGATTATTTGTTGCAGTTTGTAATTTAGTTGCTCTACTGGTTTTTTCAAAACTGTATTCACACGACAAAATAATTTTTGATTTACCAATGGGGTTGTTTGTTGTATTTTATAAGTTTAAACAATATATTGTTCCTATGACAAATATTTACCAAAAAAGGTGAATCAGTTCATGCAAACTCCAAGCATCCAAGGCATTTTAACTTAATGCTGATACAATTTTTATCATATTAACCTTTAGAATTTTGTGTGCTTTTATTGTTTGTATTTGTCTATTGACTTACCAGAATATTTTCCATGACGCAATTGATATTTTTCATTTTCGTTCTTTACAGCAAAATAATCATATTCAGCATATGTTTTGTTTCGTGACGTGTCTCCAAGATCAACACGAAGTTTATTTTGCCTTGCAGATGTTAGTCGGTATATTTTGTCCAATCCAAGCCAGAATTCGCCTTTCAGATCACCAAAACCTTGTTTATAGTCTTTCCAACCTCGATAGAAGTTTACATTTCCATCTTGACGACGTTGAAACACAGTCCAACCTCCAAAAGATGACGTCATATCACAGAAAACCTTAAAGTAACCCTGACCATCAGGATCAATTTGATAAACTCCGTTCTTTTTTTCACCTTTTTTGTAAAGATCTGCACAGTCCTTCTCTTGTATCTCCTTTGAGCTTTGTTTTATTCCTGTTAGTTTTTGACATTTTTTTGAAAGCCTTGTCAAATGTTTTTCAATAGTTTTTAAAATGTTTTGTGTTTTTGCTAGTTGTGCTTCGAGTGTTTTCTTTTGTATGTATAACTTAAGTAATCTTTGGCGGCACTTCGAATTCCAGAAGCCACATTTCATGTTAGGGCTGCACGTTTTCTAATATATATAAATATAATTATATGTTCAGCATTAATGTTTTTCTCATACAGCAACATAGATTACCTATTTTTCACTTTAATTACTTTTATGCAATATGAGCACAGAGTTAAAAAACGATAAAACTAAAGCCTTGAAGGATGCGAAAGGGAATTATGATACCAATACAAAAATAGCACGGGGTGCACGAACAGAATTACACTGGTGGGTTTTTAATGCTGAAAATTTATTTCAGAAATTTTCAGGAAGAAACACCAATACGCAATTACCATTGATGCTTTCCACTTAGGGTGGGAGGCATGGCATCAAGGAACATTCACAACTGGTGCATGGAAAAATCCGAGTCTACAAACAACATTGACTATTTAGAAATGTGAGCTATCTAACGAGGTCTACACACCTTTGCAAAGCATATTGAGAACACGCACATAAGAATACTGTATGACAACACAACTGTAGTAAACATCATAAATCATAAGGATACACGCCATTCAGACATAAATAATACTATGACAAAATGATTTGGGAATTGTGTATAAATAAAAACATCTGGATTAGTCTTGCTCTCATTTTAGGCAAACAAAATGTTGTCGCTGATTGAAATACAATCGTTTTGATAAGAAATGCTTTTTGAATGGAAAGATGAGCAGTTTGATAACCTTTTCTTGAACATTTGCCATGAGTAGATTTATATATATAAATATTTATAGGTAACAGCCTATAACAAACACTTAGAGCTCAGTACATGCACGAGTCAATACCATCAAAATAAGAATTTTGATATAAATGGTATACAAAAAACATTTTATGCTTTATGATGACAATAGCTGAAAGTAAATTGTTGTTGATGTCGTGTTGTATGTCATAAATGAATTTTTCATTTTTCTTACCTCTATCACTTTTGATGTTGATCCAGTGAATGGTTCAGCAGTTGCATATACTTGAGATATGACATTTCCACAAAGAAAGACGCAACCAAAAATCGCTAAGAGAGCAAAGGTCCTCATGATCTTGTAATGTAGAAACCAATATGACTAAAGAAAATGAACGTGACCGAGAATTTAAAGTGATATACGATCCTGTTTTCGTCTTCATTTTGGCAAACGACGCAAAGCACCTCATAAATTTGTCAACACTACCAGCTGTGGTGAATATCACTTTCTATTTTCAGCTGTCATCATATACATTTAAAGCGTTTCATAGAATAGATTTTTTCGAATATAATTATTTTTTAAAACGGCAGTGTGTATTGTATTGCAATGAAAAAATACGTTATAAAATTACAATCAATCACGTTTTTTTATTGAAAGAGAATTGACATAAACGAGATATCAATTCGCTAAAAGAGGAAGAAATTTAGATGGAACCCATGCCGTGGCTATTTTTATCTTTTTTTATAGATATAATTAAAATATAATATTGTACATGTTTAAGTAAATCCTATTTTATTTCCTATTCTAAAATTCATAACCTTTTTACAGCTATATTGTCCCTATGGAAGATATTTTTATAAATCTAAATAACTTGAGCTCACTAATGTTTTCATTGCGTTTGTGAAGTTAAGCAGATTTAATTACAACTTAACTGAGAGTCGTTCTGAAGCTTAAGAAATCATGCAAAACGTTTAGACTTCAATTTATGTTTGAATAAGTTCACGTACGTCAAAATTTCGTGTTTTCTTACAATACTAACGTCTTAGATTTGTCTTTACTTTTCATCAAATCATAATGGTATTTTGTTAAATATTTGTAAATGACCATTGGAATTATGTCTGATATATAATATCATTAAGTTTTCAGACAAAAAATATAGGGTCCCCTATTGACTTGACCTTACTATGAAGAGCAAAGCTCGTGCTAACTACGTATGCAAATGTTGTTATCGAGAACTCCTTTCCTAAACATTGTCATTGTTGATAGTTTTTGTTTGAAGCTAAAGTCGATAGCTAGCAATCCAGCTGTGTGATACAGAACAATAATTACTAGGTCAATGTCAAATTCGTTGTCAAAGGCGGTAAGTGGTTTTTGAGCAATGTCATAGATTCATTGGATTTGTTGTGATGCGAAATAAATGGATTGTGATGCAAATTCCTGTAATAATTAGTAAAAAGTATCAAAAACTTGAGAATTTGCTAAACTTCTTAATTTATGACCAATATTATAAACTATTTACATTGGCTATTCACATTTGTTTTTACCATAGACTGAATGAGTCATCGAAGTTATATAGAATAAGTTCCAGGAAAAGATGCTCAACAGAATTCCAGTTGTTAATGAACAGAAAACCTCTGCATGATAAGACATAAAGTTATTTACCTTCGGGATGGAGTGGTTGGTTAGTGTTAAGTAGAAGGAGGAGGACTAAGCAATGTCAGTACAATGTAGGGGGTATACTGAGTGAGCTCGGTACAATTGCTTGTGGACGATATGAAGGTACATGAGGAGATGGAGGATGTGAAGGTGTTTAAGGAGGTGAAGGCTGTGCAGGTGTATGATGAGGTGGGTGAGTGGAAGGTGTATGAAGAGGTGGAAGGCATGATAAGTGGATGATGTAGGTGATGAGGTGATTGAAGAAATGATGATGGATGGTAGATGATGGATGATAGGCGGTGGATGGGATGATAGCGCATGATATGACTGAGTGAATGAAAGAAGATGGGATGATAGGTGGATAATGATCGATCATGAAGATGATGATAAATGGGCGCATTGATGATGATGTAATGATGATGAGGCATAGAATGATGATGAGATTTAGAGAAAGATGTTCGATTGATGATCGATGACTCTCAATGGTGAAGAAAACGAAAGAGAAAAAAACCCTCTCCATCTTCTCCTTCTCCATTTCTCTCCTCCCTTTCCCTTCTCCCTTCTCTCTTTCTTCTCTCCCTCCTTTCTCCTCCTTCTTCCTTCTATCAAGCATCCTCCATCTCTCCTGTTCTCCACCCATTTTTCCTTTCTGTTTTACCCTATTTTCCACCACTTTTCTAATGCAAATAATGAAACTAATACTAGCATTAACTAACACAAACACTATGGGTGTCAACACATCACGACTAGTATCATTATTATTATTATTATAATTATATAATATTTATACAGTATTTTTCTTCAGTACAGAACACTGTCATCAACGAAATAGCTCTATAAATACATATAAATAAAACTTAAAACACACTTTAAAAAATTACAAAACTAAAATAGTAAGACTAAACCAAAATAGTAAAAAAACAGTAACTCTTACACAAAGACCAACATCAACACTAAGAAAACACCAGCACTATGACGAACACTGACACTGATATTAACACATTACTTAAACTTTGACAAATATTAACATTTTCCCAGTCCAAGTCACCACATTTTTTGTTACTATTTCCTTCACGTATAACCTTAATCTTAATCAAAACAACTTATTTTGAATTTTTCAAACAACGCGCACACCATTTGTAATTTTCTTACCATAAAGCACACTGCATTCTATGTGTTGTATTTTGCTTTTCAATCAAGTAGATTGTTTAAAAAAAATTTCTTAAGTAAGAATTCTTTATAATATTTGTGACTTTTTTACACAATTTCTACCCATCTCCATTATGTCATAATGCGTATATTTATATCTATTTGATG